TCATGTTCACATCTGCGAGAAAACTGAAAAAGGGAAAAGGGGAGTTGCCCTCGGGAATGAATGGAAAAGAGCCGCTATACTACCAACCGCATTAACTTCTAAACGGAGCAAACTCTTTCATTGAGCACCTCTCCAGATTTATTTCTTAGCTCATCGGACGGATACTCTGAACGAAGTTACTCTTAGTCTAGTCGTTATGCTTCCGTCTTCGCCATCGTTCGCTTGATCTTGTACGATAATGCCTGGCTTCAGTTTCCTTGACATTTATACATATGTAGAAGGAGAGCAAGGTACAAGAACCTTGCTGGAGGAAGCATAGTTCAATGCCGGACGCATCATAGCCTGTGGAGTCAGAACGGAGAAAAGTGCTGAGGAAATAGTCAAGATGGTCATTGCACGAGAGAATTCCCAACCTGGAATTCCCATCCACGCCAGAAAAACTATCGCTACCTCCCAATGGCATCACCTCGATAGTAGACTCTCTCTGTTTTACACTGCCTTGAAAAATGTTCCAGCTTTTTTTTTCATCCTAAGACGATGCTTCGAGAATGCATGTCAAGAGAAGAAGTTGATGGATGGCCCTTACGTAGGTACCAAGATGCATCTTCGTCGAGATAAGAGGGGAAAACGTCAATGAGGCGCTATGGAAGGATCAATTTGAGCCAGGGAGTTTTTCTTTTGACAGTGTTGTTGAGCACGTTGCTCCCGAATTCCCAATTTGTCGCAATTATTGCGATTTGTGGACTGCAAGTGCATACGAGTAATTTACATGGATGTGATTTGACGGTGTGATGCATGAGGTACAACACGATACTTCATGGAGGTATTTTCTCAAGAACGAGACCGGGTCGATGAACAGCAGTGGGGACGATAGTGTCTCTAATGCGGACCCGGAAAAGGAATCATATCGCGCGAGAGCCATCTGAATCATTTCCAGCGCTGACAATGTGTGGAATGCAGCCCCCCGTCTTGAGACAAGTTCACTCATGTATTCTCCTCATTCCATCAGTACCGCATTCAGATTGAATGGAGACTGTGGGAAAATGTCTAACATGACTTGTTTGCGCAAAGTAGAACAAGGGAAGTATTTTATTGCTATCGTTCTCTTCTGGTCTACACGGTAGCAAGGAGTCACGCTTCATGAATTGGCGGGAACGAACAAGCTTGTGGATGATATTGGCTTTCCTAATTTCAGGAGCCTTTACCATTCCTAGCGGCGCTGCGTGTAGTCCCTCGCGACCAGGTTATTGACCTCGTCAGCTTCTTCCTTGGGAGGAGCTATGGAAGGCCGCAGCTCTGCTTCTCGAAGCTTTCGAAGAGCAGCCGACAATACAACACCTGTTGTTCTCTTTCGTACCCTTTCTCGATGAAAATCCCATCCTTGCGACCAAAAGGAAGAGGGTCAGAAAGCATAATGCAGCCTCCGCCGTTCTCTAGACAGTAGCTAATTCGTTCCACCATCGGTTGGGGTATAAGGAGCTGCGACTCCCAATTCCTCTCTGAACTCTCCTGACAGTTTTTTCCTTTCACTTTTCATATCTTCGAACTTGCTCATTTCCTGCTGTCCTCTGTCTTCATGCCGACTCAACTTCAACGTCACCTGAAAGAGGAGGAATTCATGAGAGTTCGAGGACCGTTCGTGATCCAGCCGAGTGAACTCGTCCAACTCAATATGGCAAAGACGATTGAATATTCACCATCCTGGAGTGAGGACCTTCTCTTGTAAAAAAAAAAAAAAAAAAATTTGATTCCAGAGGCTTTCCAGAGACTTTCAACCACTCCGCGAGGTACTGAAATTCCCTTCCTGATTATGATTTTCATGAGTTTGTGAATTTAGGGCAACCTCGCCTATGACCGTTGCATGAGGAAAGCGTGAGGTCTGCTTTAGGATAGCCTCCCTGGGATTTACTATACGGCTTGATTGTCTATAACTTCGAAGGTGATTTTTACACTCTAAAGTGTTGTTTTCTGGTTTTTGAGGACGTCATCCCACAATAATCTTGGAATTTGGAATTTATGAGGATTCAGAATGACTAAGATGAATCGACAGTATTGGAACTGGAATCGCTTATTAGCGAAAAAGAGATTAAAGGAAAAAGTGCCGCATTGGAAGAAGTGCATTTCTTTCTCCCTTTACCCGCCGAGCACCCCTCGCTATGGGAAGCGCACTTCACAGGGGTCGAATACAAATTTTCTATGCATCTCAGGTGTTGGTCATTCGCGAAGTCTGGGGTCCCAACTGAAAGGCGAGCAACCCTCACCTTGGTCTCATTTCCTCATAGTTTCTAGGAGAGCTCTGAGAAAAGGTGAAATTTTAGGGAGCAAAAAAGGAAAAAGAAGAGCCAGGAGCACATGCAGGCAACATTGTTACCTCGCCATTTACCAAGGGTTAACCAATTATCGTCTTGAGGAATGCCATCCACAATGAATAGTTCTATAAAACACTTTTTGACTGTGGAACATGAGATTTCCTAGAAAGAAAACGTCTCGACTTTGGCGTATTCTTCAAGCTGGAAATGTACCTTCTCCCTCATATATAATAAGTAAATAATACAAAAGAGGGGATATCAAGGAAGATCAGGGACGCGTACAGAGGTGGAGGTTCATACTCCCCATTGTAACTATCACTCTCACCCTTGACCCTATTTTGTCCCGTCATCCCTTCCAGTCCGGCAATAATAATAAAAACAAGTGAGTACCAGTCCAGGTACAGATCTGCCATTCCTATGACCCCAATACCTTTGGAACTATCATTTTCGCCGCATCCTAACCATCCAACATTGAAATGGATAAGAACTATCATTGGTACAGCATAAGCCTATTTTAAAAAAAAGTATCAGATAAATTGACGCGTTTTCGATGATCCGCGCGTCCGCATCGTGTGGAGACGGGAGGAGCGTATGAAGTGTAGGATGCCAGATGCGGCATTTCACGCGTATGCTTAGCAATTGGGTTGTATTGTCCGGTCGCTATGGTTACTGCGGACAGACGGAATGGGAAAAAATGAAAAAAGTGGCAGACCGACCGTAATATCTGGCATTTCCTCATAGTACCTATGGGAATGGTAGATAAATGCACCATTCCAAGAAAAAACTGAGCGCTAAAGAGGGATTTTCCTTTATCGTGGGCCGTAGATGTCTGCCTCTGAAAGCGCGCAAAACTGGCCCCTCGAATGAAAGAAAAGAGACGAAGATCTCCCACGCTGAAGGAGGGTTCGTCTCGGAACTCGGCCGAAGCCTGCCCACGTGACGTCGGGGCACGTGGATGCTCCCTTAACGAAACGGAAAGAAAGCGAAAAGAAAAAATGTAGCACCGTTTGACCGTGCAGCGTCACGTAAATAAGCGTGAGGAGGCGTCTCAGTATAAAAAAAAAATGCACGCATCACATTATACACTTATTAGGAACCGCGAAAAAGAAATAATTACAGTAATTGGTTATTTATATAATTTCAAATAATTGGCTTTTCTGCATATAATATATTCCATCTGCTATGCAGAGTGTGAAAAAAACATGAGGTTAGCGCGTTGTTCGTAAAAAATTTTTTTTTACAAATGAACTAACACCTGGCATACTTTAAAAAGTATAGCCATCATAATTACATTAGAGGAATTTATCATAGACCAATTTCTTCTCAAACCGTTGTCTGCCCCTTGCTATGTAGGTTTGTACCAATACAAAGCACTTGGCGAGAAGCAATGAGCATATGGCTTATTCACAACACCTATTCAACTTCAACTCTGTAAAGTTATTGCATTTGAAACACTAAGTGAAAAAATTTTAACTTGGCAAAATATATCTCTTCTTAGCCGTCTATTGCAAAAAAATGGATGAGACACACACGGCATCAAATGGAGATATACAAAAAGATCCGGCACCTTCCTTTTGAGAGAGCGTACGTTTGCTACAACCACACGGTGAGAATTCACCCTTCCCTGAACCGTGACCGGAGAGCTCCCTGTGCTCTGTGCCTTACTAAATAAAAACCTTCATTGTTAGCTCACTCAACTGGACTTCAAGTTCAGTGTACACACATCTAGCCAAGAAAAATGTCTGCCAGCAAACTCTTATCTTAGACGTATCAATGGCGGTTAAAACTCGTAAATTTGACAGTAAAATAATAGAAGCAAATCAGTATTCTTGTTTTTTCTTTCCAATCTTATAATAGCAAGTACAAGACCATTAATATAGTCAAATAACGTGTGAGCCCCCTTAGCCTCCAAAAGAGACTCTATATGTCTAGAAGTATAATTGGTGATATCGGAAATAATAAGTTCTAATGTCGTTCCAAAAGTCGCAAATTGCTCCATATTGTTTCTGGATCAATCTGTCTCTGACATAACCTTAGACATGTATAACTAGATTCATATCTAGACTCCGCCCTGTTTAAGGAAATGAAATCGTTGCCAACCTCCTTCAGTTATGTCCCGGACCAACTGAAATTGTGTGCTGGAGCGAGATACCAAAAAATGGCATCACATCCATCAGGAAAGAATATCGTTGCTTTCTGGGAAGGATATGATCCACAATCAGCTGACAATATACTCTGTCACGGGTTTTTTTGCAGTTGATCATTTCCCACACCATAACACCTTGTTTAACAGTCTCCTACTAACAGTCTTAGTAAGATTAAACCATGGGGCGCCTCCAAACCAGTCTCAGCCAATGAGAAATCAAGCAGAACCATGCCTTGTCACTGAACGCAACACCTCCACTGCACCTCATCCCAGTCGGCAAGCCTCCATACCCATTCAGCCTATTTTTCCTGTTCTTAGTCAACACACAGAGGATGAAATAATTTGCAATTTCACCATTTCCCTTTCATATTAGCTAACAAGTTTCACACCAAAAGAACACTTAGTCCACCATGGGAAATTAAGAGAACACTATTTAAGGCAATGAAAGACAGCTGTTTATTCTCCTGGAGGAAAATAGGTTAGAACTCAAATTCTTCAAGTTCGCATTAATCTCACAGCAAGGTTTCTGTTTGAGTCCAGTAGAGTCAGCTGGATGGATGAAGGATTCTGATCTTCTTCTCTATTTTCATTTCAGATGCAATGAGTTCTTTCATGGAGGAATCAAGTTCCTCAAGAGCCAACTGGGCATGGAGCTGCACAATAGGATCCGGATCTTGGCGGTGGAGAGATTTGATTTGACGATACACATCCCTGACATCTCCTCCTAAGATGTGAAGAAAATTCTTGCCAAGACCTCTTAGGATGACTTGGAGAGCATTGGCAGCTCCTCGACGGACTTCTAAGTTCTTGTCTTCACAACACATGTTCACAATTGACAATACCTGCCACACCAAACAAATAAAATACAGCACCTCAATTTCTTCATTAAGTCAAGTAAGTTAAGCAAGTTGATAAGTCATATTTCACTTTTAGTAAAAACTTCATACTTTGCAGTGTTATGAAGTTCAATATTTACATCATACAAACTTCACTTTAAATTTTTTCATGCCCTGGATTCAAAATTTGCTAAATGGTGTCATGAAGCCATCTAAGCCAATCGTGTGAATTATTTAATGAGTTGAAATTCATGCAAAAACACAGGATAAGAGAAATCTGACTAGAAAAACCTAACCTCTTGTAAGATTGGTCCCAAAGCAAAGTTAAGGGCAGCACAGAGGTTGGCAAGGCAAGAGAGGCTGGAAGCACGGAGGATGGGGTCCCCTTCTCGTATACATGTCAACACTGCATTCAAGATGACCCCACGAAATTCTCTGCTCCTTTCCCCTAAGCCAATTGCACCATTCTCATCACTCATCAAGTTAATGACAAGAGGAGGCAAAGTTAGACAAAATTATAAATTATAACTTTACAGCTTGGACTTACCTAGAAGCTTGGTGATGCGAACTAGGGCTTCTCCAACCTTGAGTCTGGTGTCTTCATCTGCATCCCTTTCTCCCAAGTCTGAATAATGTTGAGCTAGCACTGGGACAGCCACATTGGGGGAAACTGTCCCCAAGGCCACCAGGCCCTGTATTGCACTCAGGTACACATAAGAGTCTTCATGCTTCAGACATCTCTGCAACACCCAAGGTAATTACAGCACATTTTCTACTTTATTTCAATTATAACAACTGTGTGAAAATAAACCATTTCAGATGAGGGAATGAGCAAATTTAAGAGTGCAAGTTGATAAATAATCAATACTCAAATTCACATTCACTAGTTACAGTCCTGAATGTTTAAATTTGCTGCTTTATCTCATACCAGGATGAATCATTGAAAAATGCACTGCAATGTTAAAAGAAAAAGCACACATAGGGAAATTTTGCTGAAAGCTCCACAAAAAATTGGGCCTTCTTGAAATTGAAATATCTCACAGAAACAAATATTTGACACCTAATGTCAGAAGCAAATGAATGGTGAATGGAAGAAAGCAAATGAACTGCATAATATTTGTTCATATTGAAATGCCTGCAATTCCCTTCACCTGTAGAATGGCAAAGATTTGCTCCAGATGCTGCAGGGTTTCTGGGTCCTTGTGTAACAAGAGCCTAGAAAGAGTGATGATTCCATGCCCCTGAACTGGCAACAGTGGGTCACAGACATCATGAAGGGCATCCTCAAAAGTCTCCTTGTTTGCAGATTTCTTCTGAAGTTTCTCCTTTCCATCTAATTTCTCCACGTTTTTGTCAGAAGAGTTCTCAGCTGATGAAGGAGGTGCCATGGTTCTATCATCTGATGCAGCAGAGTGCAGAACAAGACCATGCATAGCCACAATTGTGTGCAGCTCGTCTGCAGCCTTTCGGACCTGGGGGTTTGTGTGGCTGGATGATAGAGAACGGAGGATTGGCAATAAAGCCTTGGCCTCAGTCCAGATTCCATCACATGCCTGGGTGAAAAATCCACAGCCAAATATTTGAATGCTATAGAACTGAAATATTCCAACAAAAATTCCTCTCATCCATGGCATTAAATGACACTTTCATGTCAGGTGTGAGGTAAGGAAAGGGACTTATAGACCAGACCTGAACTTGAGAAAGTAGACAGGTGGCTGTAACTATAGCCATCAACAAGGACTCTGACTCCTCCCCCTTCTCACTGCTAGTTTCCTGCATGCTCTCTTTTCCTCTCTCCAAAATCACCTGGAAACCAATCCACATGCAAATACATAAGCAGTGTCACTTAGTTAAGCAGACAGTTAAATTCTTACATTTTACAGAATGTAGGTCCTTACATTTTTTACTTTTCCTGCTTGTGGAAAATACAGCACATCTTATTTAAATGCAACCAAAAGTCCTCTTAAACCTTCATCAAAGTGACCAGCCAAGAGCCAGCACTCTCTTTGTATCACTAGTAAATGGATGGCATTCTTTTCAATTAACTTCTGAATTATAGACTCATATACAGGTCCAGGAGGCTTACTGCATATAACAGCCTAATTCTAAAAGATTGGTCTCCCCTGATCTACACAATTGGAAAAACAGGAAACTTGGTGGAAGGGAGAGATGGTAAGGGCAAGCACATTTGGTCTCATGGCTGATAAATCAATTCCTAGCATTCCTTCCTTCTTTGTCTGGAAGGGGCTTCAATGCCAGCTACATCACCTGAAGAGCAGAAAGCTTATCTTTTAAGAGAAAACAAGACTTATACTGATGTTAATAGCAATAAACTAGACTGAAAGTCTTGCTATTGTTTTTGGCCTTTTTTCTGTGACTCTAATCTATCTGGAAGAAAATTTCCTGATAGGATCAAAATCTGAGAAAACAGCAAAACACAAATGACACAAGTAGGACCATCCTAGTTTCAGAGAGGCAGAAAAGCCTAAAAGCCTACAGGACGGACCAAAAATATTCACATCAACTCAAAGTCTTGGAGACACGAAGACCCACTGTAACTACTCATAGATCATTTTCAACATGATCAACATTTCAACACTCTCTTGATGCTAAATTGCAATCTTCAAAGTCCACTGGTTGATTGCACTGAATAGGACATTGTTTCACTTGTCTTTCAGCACCAGCCTTGATTCAAATTGCTGGATTTTATTTTTGGACATTTCCAGTACAATCCACATACATTAGATTATCCATTAGATTAGTCAAGGTTGTAAGAGGGACATTCATGTTTTCAAATAATTTCTGCTATATGGTCTGCTAGCCAGTTTTGTGACTCCCTTCCAAATCACATGATTTGGAAGGGAGTCACTGCTGAAAGTCCTGTTGAAAAAACCAAGGCTAGTTACTAAAGAGACATTGACCTATAGGTATGACATCTTTATTTCCTTTGCTTTTCTTGTGCAAGCAGAAATATGGGGCATGGATATTTTTCGTCAATTCTGTATGAGAAACCAGAAGAATTCTCACAGTCAAGACAGCTAAGGAATGTGAGGGACACTGCAGGACAGCCTCAATGGTGGATGGTTTCATGGAAAGAGTGGATGCTGCAGCTGAGAGTCGAACAAAGCGGGCCAATGACAACTCTGATGAAGACAGGCTTTGAAGGATATTGAGGAAAATTCCCAGCAGCAAACTAGGTTCTCTGAGATGGATAATGAGATCACAAACAGACTCAGCCAAGCACAACCAGATCTCCTCCTCTGCACCTATGAGGAGAAAACACATGTGAAGTCACAACATGGATGAATGCCAAACTATCAACTCCTCACTGAAGTCTTTGTCAAAATAGCTGATCTATTTTCATTTGCACAACTAGCTGAAAAAAGGTTCTGCTTGTAATATTACACATTCTATCTAATAATTCATCCCTATATGCATCTAGGGCAGTTAAACCTCCCAAATTTCACGGCAACATTCACATTTCCCCATACCATAAAGCCACTGTCATGTAAATTGACAGTCCAGTCCCAACAATATTCATGAAATCATTTCACAGAGTGTCTCCAAACCCATTGCTGTTGATCACAAACCATGCAATACTGCAACTTGTCATAGAGAGCAACTCTTCTTCACTGTGCTTCATCCCATTGGATGAGCCTTGCTCATATATACATGTTTCCATTCCTACTGCAGCCTATTCTTCAGCCAATCTGAAGGACCTAGTTTTTAGGAAATGCAGAGCAGCCAAGAAACTACTCTTGACTGCAATGGACATGAAATGTAGGCTGAAGTGGGCATAGAGGCATGTCAATTGGCTCCACTGAGACTCCTGCAAGTGTTGTTGAACCCTGAATTGAAAGAGATGGAGACCCTGTTTACAATATGCAAATTGACATGACTGTGGCAGGGTATTCTGAGCAAAAAAGGAATAGAGAGGATCATGTTCACCCAAGAAACATGATAAATTGTTCTGGTCTTCTTTGAAAAGGTATAGTGGTGGATGGAAATCGGAATAGTTATACCTACCAGATGGAGGCTGAGAAGTAATGACAAGACCTCCCCCAGAACTAGGTTTCACATGGATATTCACATCCACACCAGGAAGATCCAGGTCTCGAATCCCCAAGATCCCTTCAAGTATCTCCTTCCGTCTCTGTTCTGTCTCTGACTCAAAGTATTGGAGGAGGATTTCCCCCAGGATGTTCTTCAAATAAGACACCCCACTCTCAGCATGAATGCAAATCAATGACCAAATGTGTGGACCCAGGCCTTGGGTCACAAACGCTGATCCAAGCCCCACTGAAGTCCCAGCCACAAATAGTCTATGCAGGCGTTCAATGTCATCGGAGATGTCCACATTACTTAAGGAGAGGAATGAGAAGAGTGGGGTGAAGATGTGAACTGAGATGGCCTCTGGATGAGACTTGTGAAGAAGATCCAATGTTGTACCCAAAATCCGCAGGAAACTCCCTGTTCCCTCTTCATTTTTAACATTTAATAGCTCCAACAGCTGCAAAAGGAAACACATACCTGAGATAAGAATCGGATGCAAAAACTTTAATTGGCCTGGCAATCAAGAGTAGAAGCAGTGTTGATAAAATGGGCTGAATCTGATTACCAGTCAAATAATAAAAAAACAACCAATAAATCACAATGCCCACAATATTTTGACAAACAGGCAGCAAGCTTATTACATTAACTCATTCAGTCCCAATATGTGTTACTAGTAAAGCCCTATAGCTCAGCCATTTTCTTGAAAAATCAAAGTTTTACAAATGAATGTCAAGGTGAAAATGTTACATGCTGCAAAATCTTCAGAAATCTAGTTGCAAGAAATCTAATGATGACATATGTCATTTCTAATTCCAGGTAATGGCAAAATCGATCTCACTTCGGAAAACTCCTATTGCAGGCTTGATTGTGTTAAGTAGGTAATATACTATATATGGTGAAAATTCTTGAAGGACTTGAATACTCAGTCTCACAGAAAACCAGAGCAAAAAAAAAAATACTAGGATGCTAGATTTCTTGAATCTTCTTTACCATAAAAAAAAGTCCTATGACTTCTGTTAAGGATTTGACTGGCAGGTTTTCCAACAACCTACATGATCATGAAACTGTAACATATATTTTCTCAAGAACCAGGAGGGGCAAGGTAAAAGCAGCTGTCAAGGACAGTGGGGGGTGATAGAAGGTTCTTAGGGGTCCCCTGAACATTAGGCACTTTCAAGGGCTCTCAGGAGGGGCAGCTACCCCCAACCCCCTATAAAATAAGCTACTGTCCTGAAGCAATTGAGTCTGAGACATGGAAAGGATGGAAGGAATTAAGCTTGCATGATCCACAATCAAACATGAGTTCAAAAATGCTGAGATTAGATTACCTGTTATTTCAGAGATTTGAAGATGACCTTTCACTTCATAGCATTTGAGATGGCAAGTCATTTCAGTGTTTTTGGAAAGGTAAAGTACTTAATGAACTTACCTGAGGGCAGATGTTGTTCTCCAGAGCAAGTGGGCGTCTGTTCCTTGAGGCCAGATGCACAACAATACGAGCAACAGTATTGCATACATCCCATCTTGTAGATGCATTTGACTGACTCTCTGCATCTGTGATTCCAGTCATGAATGCCCTCACACCTCCTGAAGACAACAGCACCTGATTCAGGATTACCTGTCCGACCTGCCGCAACCAGTCTCCTGAACTTGCCTGTTTACAGAATCAAATTCATTCATGGTACAAGCAGTCAAAGAACCGTTAACCCTTTTTTTTTATAAACAGGCAGAAATTGCAGATTATATTATTTACAAGCAACAGCATATGGTGGCTTACCATATTACTTGTCTGTTAGATGATGAAAATTGCAAGATAATGAAGCTCCAATGAAGTTCTAGGTCAGTGAAATGGTTAAAGGGATGAAGATACCTTTTTTCTTGTTTAGGTCTGGTGTTTATTATAGCAAGCATCATTACCTCATGATCTGGTTTTCCTCATTTTCATGATTTTTTTTCCTAACACATGGTACCATTGGTGGAATATACTGGTTATTCTCATCTATCCTGACTTAACCCTCTCTCTAGGAATGGAATGACTCTTGGAGAGTTCAAGGCATACAGGGTCGTGCAAAAGTTCCTGTACACTTTGAAAATTAATTCTTTCACTAATCAACGAATTGTTGGTGATTCTGATGTGTGTTTTTTTTAATTTATTCTAAGGACATTTTTGATACGAAATGTTTTCATTATAGTAAATTTCATTCTTTGTTTGAATTTTTTTTCTCTGGAGCTATGACGCCTAAAGAGAATCGAAGCGCTAATCGAAGTGTACGGGAACTTTTGCACAACCCTGTATATTAGAGAAGGGTGCATGAATAATATTGTTAATAATGTTAGGATCATGGGTCACATGTTCTTCATACTCAAGGCAGTTTATGTCCAAGTTTGTGGAATTTCCAGTTGATTTGTGATCTTCCAGATTCACTTGGTATTGTCCTTACTTGTATAATAGTCTTCTGAAGCATGTGTTTGCCTTGCTTCCTATGATAGGTCTTTAGAAGACATTTACAATCATTGTAGGCTGAGCAGGTTTCTCACTACACTCTCAACAGCCCTGCAATTTGACAAAGTTGGCATTTTACTCTGGAGTTGCGTAATCTCATTGACTTACTCAGATTTTTCTGTGGAGGAGTATTTTATTTGCTGCTTTGTGGGAAGTTTACATAGTGTAAGCCTGAGAATTGAGTAAGAACAAAGAATAAATGAAATTAGCTGAAGTTTCCTCATATACTTCTTGCAGAAGTGAAGGGGTATCAAGAATAGTTTCCATGCCTACAGATGAAAAACTTGAAAGTGAATAAATTGAGCATAGTGGTCTGAGGGTTTAAGCTTTTCAATTTCAGAAGAGACATTGTCAGGGGCGTGGAAACTACTGAAAATATTCTCAACTAGGGTTTGTGACTTGGGTCTTGCTGACTCCATAATACATTGGCTCAACCCATGACATGTGAGTCAGTCGAGTAGTTGATCTTACAGTTCAAGCTGATCTTACAAGTAGTAGACCTCTTACAGTTTATCCTTATCAAAAGCATTCTGAAACCAATCCTCATCAAGACTGATGTAGAGGATCTTACATTTGCTTGTAAATCTTCATGAGCAATTTTTACCCTACTCATCCTTTAGCTATATTTATCTTGGCTCTTACCCTGTCTTCTTCCCTGATAGAGAATCCTATTTTCATTGAGGAGATATACAGTGGAGTGCAAAAAACATTGCTATCAGATTTTGATAAATTTCAAAACAATTTTTCATAGATTTCCCGTAAAATATTCTATATTTTCAGCAAACTCAACAACACTTTTCCAAATACAGTTGACTTTTGTTATACAAGGGGGTTGCATTTCTGATAATCACCGCATATATATCGAGTCCACATAAAATGAGAAACTTATAACATGTAATAATAAGGGTTACATTCCTGAACATGCAAGATTTTGTTCTAAGTCTTGTTCTAAATCTTGCGCATTGGGAAACGCAACCCCCACATGTAATAAGAGTCAGCTGTATGTCATTCTCACTGCTATATATAGCCCCTCCTTGGCCTTCAAGAAAGTTCTGGAATAATCTCTCTTGAAATTTCAACATATATACTTCTGGAAAGTTCCTGCGCTTAATGGCAATTTTTTTGCACTCAAAAGTAGGAAGTAGGACTTTTCCTGAAATCAGCATTCCTTGAGCTACATGTTTACTGAAATTTCAACTTTCTCAACCTTGCCATTTCACCAGAGCAAAAGAACTTCTTCCAACTAAATTTGTATGCAAAAGGAAATAGCAGCTAAGAAACAAATGACACCACATATCCAAGTCTAGCCAGTATATAGGAGTTGTACATCATCTACTACATTAATCTCAATGGAAAAAGAATCTGTTTCACCAGCACCCATTTCTTTCACAGATTAATACAGAGCTGCAATAGGAAGTTCTTTGTTACAAATGTAGATAGCTCAGTCCAAGGCCTACCAAATGTGAATCTCATCCTCACCTGGATATCTCGAGTGCCCATGAGAAGCATCAGAAGCTTCACTAGTTCCACTTGGGGAATCTTTGGAAGAAACTGCTTGTAGAGTTGGATCTTGAGGTGTTTTTGGATGACTTTGTCTACATCATCACAGTGATGCACAAGTTGGAGAAATGCAGCTAACACATCCACACAGACAGGGGATGATAGGAAGAGTGCAAGGAGTTCTTGAACTTCAATCATCACAAGAATCCCAGTCATGACACCAATGAGGTGATTGGTCTCATAATGACCTTCCTGCTTCACTGGGATGAATGGCAGGACCTGGCTAGGAAAACGTTTCTCTAGAGGGATCCCAAACCCACACTTCAAGTAAGGCAGGATCCCAAACACATCAAGGAATTGCAAGGCAGATGACACAACTTTATGTTCCTGTAGGCTGAGTTCATTCATAGGTTGCTGATGTAGAGTGGAACTGCAAGCTTTTAAATCCATTGCCAAGGATGTGAGTAACAGGAGAAGCCTATCAGCAAACAGCAACCTAGAAGAGAAAAAGCCAAAATTCCTCCATTTTCAGCCTGGAATACCACATGTTCATTTTCCTCAAGGAATGCAAGAAATGAGAGTAAGTCTTTTCAAGCATACCTTATGTCATCTTTTCCCAAAGTCCTACATTCCAAGAATAGCCATGTTTGAAGGATATATCCTGTTTCATTCTGAAAGTTCTGCAGTGCAGCACTCCATTCCTCTTCACTGATGATGGCTTCACATTTCTCAAGGTTCTGCAGCAGATCATCCTCAACTGCAGCAGCTATTTTGAGCCCAAGGATTCAAGAGTACAATACATTATTCCAAGTCAGAGAGATAAGGAGACACCCATTTAAGTTACACTAGGAAATTTTGGTTGAATTAAAAATTACTTAGGTTTAGCATATCCTACTTCCTCTCCAAGATGCTTAATTCAACACAGATTTAAATATGTGTATTACACTCCAATAAATGTGCCTTCTTGATTGAACTAAACCATTAAAGAGACACAGAATACATAGGATGCATTCTTCAAGCCCATCCACTTACAATTAGGTCCACCCAACATAAATTTTAGAAATAGATGCTTCAAATGTGAGGGCAACATACAAAGATGCAACCTTTTTCAAAAAGCTCTTGATATGGACAAAACTCAGGGATCACAGACTGATTTCTATGCTCTCATCACCTAGCCATAGGTATACTTGATTTCTAAGTCTACCATTATTTTTCACTTTCATCTCTTGGCAACAGGAAAAAGGATGGCAATGACTGAATCTAATGAAAATTTTTTTTCATTCCTTCATGAGAATCAACAAAAGCAATGATAGTACCTTTGATGAACTGATCCTTCAATAGATCTCTTCATCCCATGGGAAAGGGGTGGAATATTAGACAAAATGTTCACTACAAACTATTTGCCAGCCTGGCTAGTCACATTCACATAAGTTTTGCTCAGTAAATCAACTAAGGCAATTATAGCCATAGTCAATTCATATCACTTGCTCTCCTCAGTCTCACCAATGGTTAGAAGAGGTGATCCCACCATATGCTACCACAGAACTAATAATATTAATGAAGAAAATGGAGTATGTTGATGGACTAGTGGTGATGTGGACTCATGGGACATTGAAAATTACTTAATAAGGTTGAGAAAGGGAAGGATGAACCAGGCACAGTCAAGTGCAGAGAGAAAAAACTGTCTTTCTCTAGAGACATGCTTTTCCTATATGACTAGCTTATGAGAAGTAGTCGTTGGACATGCAGTGACAACTCTATCAAAGTACACGAAAGAAAACGAATAATAATATATAACATCGCTTTCACATGGATGTTGCATATCTGAAATTTTAATGTTTTCAAGTAAGAACTTCTCTCTATCTATCCAATCCGTTTTTTTTTTATTAACGTCACAAGAAGCACCACTAAAGTGACCCATTAAATTTGATTATTTGAAAAGATTGGTATAATTTCGGACATGGGAGACTAAGCGGTCTCTCAGTTGTCGGCTGACAAGACACTATTACCATTACCAAATGTTAGGCCTGAACCTACGTGGCTTTGAAGCATCACCCAAGTCTTTTTCTGGGGTCTTCAACAACACCGACAATGCCTTTATGACCTTTGTCCTTTCCATCGTACAGAAGTATGAGAAAACGGGAAACAGGCTCAGTCCCGATGCTCCTCAGCTGTACACACGTGCATGGATATGTAGTCGGCCATGTTGCGGGAAACTGTAGACTCCCTTTTTTTTAACCGCATCGACCACGACTTACTACCGCGGGATTGCATGGAAGACACGAATGTGGGTGGAAGTGTCTGAGCTTCCAAGCAGCGGTTTTCGAACTGTGTGGCGCGAGAAGATAGAAAGGAAAGGAGCGCAATGGCTTCACGAAAAGAGGGAGTTGATTGGAAGTGATAAGGATATGGCCAGTATACTTAACGAGTTCTTCGCTTCCGTTTTCACTGTGGAATCCGACTCGGCACCGACTTTGGAGGAGGTGGCCTCGGCGCGCATCGAGGATATTTCCATCACCGAGGAGACGATCGTGAACATGATAGGGAAGTTAAAGGTGGGCAAGGCGACCGGCCCCGATGGGATTCCTGCGAGAGTCATTAAGGAAACCGCGAGAGAAAGATCGGTTCCGCTAAGAATCGTATTCGAAAGCAGCTTTTCGTGCGGGGAAGTACCTAAGGACTGGAGACTAGCAAACGTCGTACCGATCTTTAAGAAGGGCGAAAAGAGTCATCCAGGAAATTACAGACCGGTAAGTCTCACGAGTATCCCAGGGAAGATCATGGAGAGCATACTAAGGGACCATCTCTTGGATTTCCTCGAAGGAAACGCGCTCATTCGGGACTCTCAACACGGCTTTAGGAGGCGTCGAAATTGTCTCACCAATTTGCTCGAATTTTACGACTGGGCGACGGAAGAGAGGGATAANATTTAGCTTTAAGAGGGTTAGGCCTACCCTAAAATTAAGGAACGCTCGACCTCGACACGTGATATCGAAATGGGCGAAATCGCCTCTTGATATCACTAACTATCCTGAAATCCTGAAAATCCTGAAGAAGGGAAAAGACGTTATGAATATTTCCTCCAAGCCTATCCCTTCACTCTTTTTTTCTCGGACTGCATGTCCTTGAAAACAGTTCTCCGGATCACATACAGGCTTTTTCTCAGTAGGATTCTCGCCCTCTCATTATGCTTTTGACTCCTGGGAGCGGAGGAAATCTAAATGCAAATTTTCTGTTGATTATCTATAAAAGGAAAATGTATATAAGTTGGAGTTCTCCAAGGTGGTTCTTCGAATGGAGAGACTCGATTGACAATTTCGATCGGAATCGGATCAGTTCGCCTCGATCAATTATGAATTCATTCCCTTCCTCTGTCCCTAGGGTGTCATGTTCCAGGCTTGCAAAACGTACAATCATAATATGGAAGAGATCGCTTTAAGGTATAGTACATCTAACAAATATTTAGAGAGATGTCACTGTGGTACAGATGACTACTCTTTACGTGGGGTAACAATGACTTCATGGTTGAGCCCAGTTTCCTCCTTTTTGACATGTCAACGCGTCGGAGTGGATGAAAATCTTCGACCATTCAAGAGCAACAAGCCATCCTGAACGCGCAAAAAGAGGAGAGGACGATTCACGACTCGGCGCGGATTTTGATGGTCAGCCCGGCTTCGGTTTCAAACGTTAAGGAAGAGGAAACACGCGAAGGAGATGGAGAAGAGGGGACCGAAGAAGATCCGGTTTTCGGTAATCGATTCCTTTGACATTGATGTCATACGTCGGGAAGCATATGCGATGTACGCGGAGACCAAGTACCCGACCTTGATTAGCGGAGTGAAAGAATCACGGGCTCAAACATGGCAATGTCATATATTTTTAGCGATGGAATAAATATTTAGAAGCGCAATTCCGATAATTAAAAAATTTGCACCAGTTGTGCAGTGAACGATGCCAGAACTTTCTCGTCCACTCCCAGGTTGAAGTATCACCACAAATTTTTAATTAAGTCCTGTTGCGAAGCAATCGCATGTTACCACTCTCTGCAGCAAATTTAGTCCAAAGATTCCGTCCATTTTCCGTTTCATGCCTACCCATCTATCCATCAACAGTTCCCACCACCGATTCACTCACATTCACTTAATCGTTCGAATGCATAGGATCTGAGGCATGAGAAGTACCCAATGATAGATGATTCCCGCTGAAACGTTTGAGATTGATAATTTTTTGCTTCCTCAATGTCTTGCAAGGGAGAAACTCTGCCCATGAAAATCGACGAAGCTTTTTGTTTCGGTCTCAGCTGGAAGATGTTCAGAAACCGGATATTTTCATATGACCAGCAATTTTTCGTTCTTCCTAGCTGAGATATGATGACAACAGGGAGGACACTGGGTCCATCCATAATGAGATTGTTGTCTCACGTATGGATAGTCTTGTACATAGTGACATCTCTCTAAAAAAGAAAAAAAAAACTTTTGGATGTACTACTAGAGTACCCTAAGTATGAGTATATTAGGGTTGTATGCGATCCGCATACGACCCAAGGATACGCATACTTTTAAATCTGTCTCAAAAAGAGGTCCAACTTATTCATATTTAATATCTCCATTTGATGTCATGCAATGCCCCATGCTTTTCTGCATTCCAGATGAAATGATTACATTTTGAATCATTTCACCCGTTGCTTCAAATGTAAACTTTTCGAAGCTAAAGAAAGAAAAATTAATGAAGAAGGAATTTCCTTGCTGATCCCTTCGAGTAAATACGATTGCTTTGCTTTTTTCTTAATGAAGGGGTATCAATTTGTTAGCGACAAAATAAAAATTTTCCAACCAACACCGAGCGAGCCACGTGGTGGCTCGCTCGGTGGCATACATAATACCTCAGATGAATGGGGAGTGATTTAAGCCTAAAGAAAGGTTATTAAAAAATGTTTAATGCTACAAGAACCATAATAACACAAAATAAGGTCTACGAAAAAGCATTTCCTTCAGTGAGACTCCCTGTTGCCTGCGTTCTGGAGAGTGCCAATATGGCAAATTCTGCGAGGAGCAGACTTATGCAGCTTGTTTTTTCTCTGCAATTTTCGGAAGTAATCAGTTACAAATTTCTTTATTGAGGTAATTTCCCCAACATTGAATGCAAGAATGAATAGGTTTATTGTTCACATTACAGGGATTGAACTAAAATTACAGTTGTTCTGTGGACAGAGGAAAAGGATTACCAGCAACTAAACATTAATTAGGAAGGAATAACTTGGGGGGGAACACATACACAGAGGAGGGAGGGGTGGAAAGACACAATACTCTGTAAAGATCTAAGAACAGAACATATGCATTGGGAAATGGAAAGAACAAAACACATTCTTAGGAAAATGAGAACTGAAATTTATGTGTATATGGGGAAGCAGGAGGAATAAAACAAATCAATCTATGATATGTACAGAGGAAATAAATTTGAAACTAAAATATGGATAACAAATGAATAATAGATAAATGGGACTCAGATATCAGTGGAGCACTCAAGGCATGTTCTGTGATGGGCGACTACGGTCAGATTTAGTTCTTGAAAATATACACTCAGAGAAATCGGTAAATCAAAATGATACCCTTCGGTCAAATTTCGCATTTCGATGGGGGGGTTTTTTTCCAAAGAGGAAAAGACAACATGGAATTCTGATTTGTATCAGTCTCATCCCGGCCGTGCCGGGTCGCCTGAAAGGCGTCTACAGGTATAGCCGAATAGAGAGGGGTGGCTTGAGTGGCTGCGCATCGTCGAGACGCATGTCAACCTCCGTTTTTCACTTCATGTCGAAGCAGGACCCCTTATAAACCCTCAGGGCAATATGCCCTCTTCGCCCTATCACCTTCCCTGCGGTCCATGTTCGTAGCTCGTGCGTCTTTCAGGGATTCCAATTAGATCGCTTCCTCCATTTTTCGAGTCCAGTTTCTATTGTATTTGTATTTGGTTTCGTGTATTGGTGGTGCAATACGTATCGCCGGTAGACGAAGCTTCCAAGCTTAAAATCCAATGATATTCCCACAATAGGTTCATCTGACGTTATAGTACAGTATTTGTAGCCTATCGCCTTGAATCAATAGGTGCTTCCGTGCCTTCTCTCAATCTTAATCACCTCCCCAATAAAGTTATCCACCTTCGCATATTTCTCTTTAAGCGTTTTAAGGAAAAAAATATAATCTTCTCCATGGCCTTTGAATAGTCACCCGAAAAAATTATCTTCCTTTGGGAGTGTGAAAAAAACCAGATGAATAAATAATAATAATAATAATATAAATATAAAACAGATTTCAGCTCTTGTATCATTTTCCCCATCGAACCGTCGTAACTGAGTCGGAGATGGCAGTCAAGGGAAGTATAATATATGGATCGAAACTTGTGCTCTTCCTGTTGGCAACTTACAGATCTGTTCTGATGAGGGAAATTCCATTGTCTTCGGATTGAATTCCTATCCCCCCTCCTACCCCGGAGCAGCGGAGAATGGGTATGGCACGGAGAACGAAGCCTAAATGCATCACATCCAGGAATCATGCACATGTGATGCGTTTTTCTCACGCCCAAATTGCATCTATACGATTCCCGCTACTTGTGTCTCCAATTTAGCTCGGAATCCCTTGTATTGACACCGAAAGTTTTCGCGAAGTCTAAGTACCCGATGTCGACAGGATTTCTATTATCGCTCTCGTTCGTCACCCAATCTTAGAACAAGAGCATCTTGGTGAGACAATTTCGGCGTCTCCTAAAGATGTGCCGAGATTCTCAGATGAATGAATTTCTCTCTAGGAAGTCTTAGATGTGCTCTCTTTGAATACTTTCCATTACCTCTCCCGGAATGCTCGAGAGACTCACCGGCCTGTAATTTCCGGAATTCCTCTCGTCCTCCTTCTGAAAGATCGTTACGAT